TACTTTGCCCGCCATCTTGGATAAAATTTTGAAAAATTATCTTCGGGTTATATTGCCGGAAGTGACGTCATTGGCTGGGTTGAATCAAAACAACAGTGTATTTTTGTTTAAAAATTTGACTCGCTCGCTAGCTTCGAAAAGGTTTGTAGCTTTTTATTGTTATGATGGAAGATATACACAAAAATCAAGTAGAAGAAGTGTTGCCGTACCAGTATGAACCAGAAGTTGGGGCAGAAACAGGCCATTTAAGCGCTGAAAGCGGTTCCGAACAAGACAGTGAGTTGTCTTCGTCTGACGAAGAAGTCGGTCACGAGTTTGAAAGGGTAAATGCTTGGCGCCTTCAAACTCTTAGTTGGTGTAAATGCGGACATTGCACTATATCGAACAAGACTATTGAGTGTTTTGTTGCCACGAGAAAGCATTGGAATACGACGAATACGACGTTCTCCTTAACCAAACAGAAACACAAGACAAGCAGTGTGTTACAACACATCGAGAATTCAATGAAAACATGCTTTCAGAAGGAGTGCTAAAAGTCGATGTGTGCCGTTACCTTGAGGAAAACTGGCCTCTTGATGATGAGGATCTAGAAAGAGTACACAAACTCTATCGACTAGTAGCGTATCAGAGGTGCTCTCGGTGGATTTTCCAGATCTTGGGGAAGAAAAAGCGAAGACCCTTCCCAGCTTGTGTATATGCAAAGATACGAGAACACTTCGAGTCCCCTGACGGTTTATACACTCACTTTAAATACGCAAGAAAATCAAAACGGTAATATTTTACTTTATGGTTCTAATTCTTGAAGTATGTACAATTGAGAGCATATATATATATATATATATTTGTGCGTGAAAGGAATACCTCATTCACGATTGATACATTTGGCCTCTTGGCACTTGCATTCCTTATCACAGATTGTTCCCACTGCCCTGCAGTCACATTTTCGTGTTGCGCATTTACCTTTACATGCACAAGGGTTAACACCAGCTTTTCTTTTTAAACTTGTAGGTGAAGCTGGCTTACTGAATCGTGACTTCTTGTTAGCTACGACTTGTTCTTTTGAGGGTCTCTGCTTTCCTGCCAAGTACTGTTGAACAAGTGATTGTGGCTCTGGAGGTAGTACATTGCTTGCATGTTCTTTGGCCTTCTTCAATGTAGGGTACTGCTTTCGGAGTTTTATAACTTGACTTAATATCAAATGTACATACTCTATAAAATTAGATTTAAAGTTTGTGAACTTATCAACATGGTATATAATAAATATCTGATTTTTTTCCCTGCTTAAAAGTGTGCTGTATGTATGGCCTTTTAACAGGAAGATGAAATTCATACCATAGGTCGGTTTTTCTTTTAAAGGTTTTTCCACAGCTTTCTCTCCTTTAAAAGCCTTTGCATAAGATATGGCCCATCTCAGCTTTCCATCAGCAGTTGTTGCCTGCTTTCTGTTGCTGTTTTCATTGTAGTGCAAGTTTGAACAGTACAATCTGGTTTGAAATACACATAAGATAATAAAGCCTTTTGCATGTCACAATTTTCAAACATTTTTCAAACTTAAAAATTTTACCTTGCACTCAATGAATGATAGGAATGATAAGTGTTCTTTGAGGCCAGTAAGTTGTCTAAAGCATGTTTGCACAAACCAGATGTCTGATGATATTTCGATAACTTGCGGATTGCAGAAATGAGCCGTGGCCTTGTTAACATCTCTTCCAATTTTTTGTGAGCAGCAATCATGTATACACACATTACAATATATATATATATATATATATATATATATATATATATATATATATATATTTATCCATAGTGTTGCCCTATTTTTATATAACCTTTTTTAATCCAGTCTCTTTCAATTGTGCCATGGAGACATTTTACATTTATCCATAGTGTTGCCCTATTTTTATATAACCTTTTTTAATCCAGTCTCTTTCAATTGTGCCATGGAGACATTTTACAAACACTTTATGGCCAGCATGTTCATGAACATTGATTATATGGTTTAGAATACTGCGCCATTTTTCCTCTCTTTCATCCTCAGTCTCACTGGAGTCACCAACCCAATAAATATGATTAATGATTGACTGTCAAGTAAATGAAAAAATATTAATAACTAAGATAACCAATGACAATTGTTTTTTGCTATGTAAACTGATACAGAATTATATTTATATAGATACCCCAATCCATGGCTGAATTTTCCTGAATTTCTTTTTCTTGGCAACTTTTGTTAGCTTCTTTTTTTCTCCTTGAAAATTAGAAATTCCTGATTTTAATTTCATGTTTATTATACAGTACTGCTCAGAAGTAAGTTAACAGAAAACACGTTTGGAACGCGTCCAGAACGCGTCCGGAAAGCGTTCCACATCGCGTTCCAAACGCATTCCAACTGCGTTCCATTTCGTTCCAAAACGCGTTCCATTTGCGTTCGGCTTTTAGCGGAACGCGTTCCGTCCGAACGCGTTCCAGACGCGTTCCTACTGAATCAGTCGGAAATCGGCGGGAGTTATCGTAAGAATTAATTAGCGTCGACGCTCGATAAACGATTCATTTTTCATTTGTGATTATACTGTCTGTGAACATGGGGAAGCTTTCCGAGTATGCGAGAAAAAGAATAATTTCTTTGCAGTCAAGCGGTGTTAACCAAACCAAAATAAAAGAATTGCTTGAGGAAGAGGGCATAAAAACCTCAAGAACTTCTGTATGTCGTTTCCTTTCGCGTTATTCGAAGACAGGCAACATTGGCGATGCTCCGCGTAGTGGTCGAAATACAAAATTGTCACCGGAAGCTATGGCATATATTGACGAGAAGATGGGGGAAAACGATGAACTTACGTCTCGAGAATTAAAAGAAAAGATGAAAAAGGATTTAGACCTCCAAATTTCCGAAGCCACAATTCGAAGGATCAGACGCAAACTCGGTTGGAAAGTGGAAAACGCGCGATATTGCCAACTCGTGCGCGAGCCAAACAAAATAAAAAGGCTGGCATTCTGTCTTAAAGCATATACAGAAAAGGACAAATTTAAAAATGTCATCTTCACGGACGAAACATCAGTTCAAATGGAGCAATATGCTAGAGTGTGTTTTCACAAAGAGGGAACACAGCCGAAACGAAAAGGCCGTCCTAAGCATCCCTTGAAGGTATGTATGACACACCACTGTCACCACATGGCATAAAAATGCAAATAATTTACAAAAACGTTGTATTTATACACTATTATAAAGTTATAAAAAATATATATTTGATATGTAGGCTATTCTAATAAGCAGTGCTTCATAAATTTTACAGGTTTTTATAGCAATGTGTTTATACTTAATTTCTATGCAAACTTCAAAAACAGTTAAATCTAATGAATATGTCATCAGATCAGAGTTGTCATTATATGGAATATACCTATTTATACATGTCAGAAACAAATATGAAAATAATGAATACATGCATAATTATATCTAATGATTCGATTAGGTACATGTTTGGGCTGGAATTTCTTGGAGAGGGGCAACCCAAGTGTGTATCTTCAGCGGATGCATGGAAAGCATTGGTTACCAAACCATTTTAGAAAGAAACTTGCTACCATTTGTGAGAACAGTCTATCCTGATGAGCACCGCATGTGGCAAGATAATGATCCTAAACACACCAGCAATTCCACAAAGAAATGGATGAAAGACAATGGAATTGAACATTGGGTGACACCTCCTGAATCACCGGTTAGTAAACAATATCCCAACATCTTCAAGTATACTTATAATACAAGCCACATGTGTCAATGTGTTATTATTCTGGGAATTATGAACTCAGTAAATTACTGATGGTACTGTAATATTATATATTCTTACAGGACTTGAATCCAATTGAGAATATTTGGGCTGGTTTGAAACATCATTTGAGAAAATATGTAAAGCCAACTAACAAGGATGAACTTATCAATGGCATTCGAGAATACTGGCAGAGTGTAACAAGAGAAACATGCCAAAGATACATTCAACATGTTCAAAAAGTTATTCCTGCAATTATTGCATGTGAAGGAGGACCTTCAGGATATTAATTAAATAAGTGTAAATAAGTGTAAATATTGTAAATATCATTAAAGTTAATTGAAGAGATTCTATGTTACCAGGAAGTTTCATTTCTATTAATTGGTATGCTGATTCTGTTGAAATGTCTAAATAAAACTTAAAACTTTAAAAGATTTTATTTTGAATTGAGCTTTTGACTATACACCAATCATCAGGATTAATATGGTAAGAATATATGCATGCTTAAAATAAGACATTTTACCAAGTCAGCATACCAATTCATAGAAATCATTAAAGTTATTGTAAGAATACAGAATATTGTAAATAAGTTTAAATATTGTAAATATCATTGAAGTTATATCATTATATCATATTGTAAATATCATGGAACATAAGAAAGGTTATTTCCTGCATTTGAGTTTTTTGAAAAAATATTGACCTACCAGAGCCCTGACTTTGGCATGTAAGGGCATTTCATTTGTGGGGCATTTTACACTGAAATTTTACCCACTTCATTGTGTTAAAAGATGACCTAGAGGTTTGAAAGGTTATATACCAAAGGTTTCACCACAAAAAAAGGTATGATACTTCTATAGTTCTATTGCTTGGCAATATTACATTATTACTCATTGCTTTATCAAATAATATATCAATTAGCAGTTTACTGTTGACAATCTACTAATCATTGAGCATTATTTTGTCAAATTGCATAAAGGTTGACCTAACTACCTTTAAAATCAAGCAAATTGTTTCTTTGACAATATTTTCTTTTATTAAATGACAAATAACTTATTAATATTATATACATTTCTTATGATAACAATAGCTAGGTTAAAAATATATTAAATTATAGTGCATGCAAAATGTAGAAATGTTTTAATATGTACAATAATGATGTTCATTATATCAATGATTGTGCTATCTATATATGACCAAGTTTCTTTTATTTGGAATTATTTTTGTTTATGAGTGCTGATATGATTACTGTTTATATCTTAGTTTCCTTATCGCACTGTCAATTGCCTTTCTACATACAGCCCATGTTTTTCTTCTATCTTCCGTAGGGAACTTTTTAAATGTTGCTTCTTTAATTAAGTCCATGCGAGGATCTTTCTCTAATGATTTTTTCTGATGAGAACCAGAACAGTTTGAAACCTTTAGCTCTTCTTCATCAAACATTTCAAACACTAGATTTTTTGCATAGTTTGAAACTGATGAACTTTTCTTGAATAATTCATCATAATTCATTGGTGAAAGTGTGGACACAGATGGAGAGGTAATACTTTCTGGTTCAGTTGTTGTAATGTTCATTCCGAGTATATTGTTCGAACAAATAGATGCAGCTTCTGAAATTGATCGCATTATCTCCGAATCTTCATCAAAACTATCAAAACTCAGTGGCTCTTGAGCAAAACTGTTCTCTTTTTGCTTTGGATTTTCTAATGCTGAAACAAGCTTATCTAGTTTACTTTCTAGGATTGATACCTTTTCCAGCAGGACATCATGACAGGAACACTGGTTCATCATCTTTGGCTGATCTTCTTTAGAATTTATTTGTATACCAACTTCATTTGATGGAACACAATCTGTCTGAACACCAACTTCTTTCTCATCAAGTTTTTGGTATTCAGCCACCAATCTTCTCACCTTTTCTTGTTCCATGGGATGCATAAATGACAGTGGTTCTTTTGTTCCACAAGGTTCTTCCCCATCAGCATTACCATATGGCTCATCAGGCAATGACTCTGCTTCTATGTTGATTAACTAAATACAAGAAGAATAAAGTGGTTGTGACTACTTGTTGAACTGTTGTAAACCAATTTAAGATTATTAGGATCAATGCCAATGGTTGACAGTTTCAGGCCCTAGCATCATGCAATCTCAATGACCTGTAGTGTGACTATACCTTCTTCGCTTTTTTGGCCTTCGATTGATCTCCGGGTTTTTTTCGTTTCTTTGTTGCCTGTGGTGAATTGGTCTTATTTGCCAATGGAGGCCTCTTCGCATTTGGTTCAGCGGTCGGGGTTTGGTTTTCTTTGTCTGCGTCGTGTGCATCATTTTCCCCCCCAAACATCTGAGTCAAAAACTCCGTTTCTGCTTCGAGCAGCACGCCAGGATCGTCTATACAGAAGTAAACTCAGTATGTTATTCAACTACCACAAGATTGTCAGGAAGGAAGCCAAAGTTTAAATAATATATAGACTACGAGGTGTACTTATTGCTTACCGTGAAGCTTAATTATCCTTGCTTCGAAATCATCTTTTCCAAATTTTACAAGCACTTCTGCTCCCTCTTCAATTTTGTCCCCTTCTATAATTTCCTTTACTTTCGCTGTATCCAGCACAGTCGTCGTCTGGTCAACGCTGAAGAATATCAGCATACGTTTTGCTGGCTCACGAATGAGTTTTCGCAAAGAAGCCATCTCAAAATTAAGCCAAAAACCAACCACAAAAGTTTCGCCGAGGTGTCAGAGAGTGAAGATCGCACAGGGTGTAGATCGCAGAATAAAGTGTTTGGCATGGAACTACGGTTTTATTATTGTTTCAACTTGTGTGAGTCACGAATAAAAATAACCTCCACAGCTCATATTTTAATTACCTCAAACCCGCTAATGGTTGCTAATGATCAAGCGGTATGCTATGATCAAGTGCGATAGTGTGATGAATACGTAATAGGCAGACGGTAGTGAGTTTAGTAAAACTCACCAACAATATCAATTTTTACAAATCATAAAGGCGATTATCATAAATATCATCAAAATTCTGATTTACTATAAAAAAATTGAAAGCGAAAGGTTTGTGATGATCAGTTTTGTAACATTCGATTCGCAATTTTTCTTGTATTTTTAAACGGATTTTTTATGACCCCCTCTAATCGCTCTATTGTCTGTTTTTGATCAACATGTTTTGACAGTTTTGTGTATCATGTAATGACATGTTCCACTGAGAGCGCTCAAAGACGCTCATTGCTTTTGACAAGTAGGAAGCATATAATTGTGTGAAATATAGTTTTAGCAGCAGTGCCCTTGGGGTCATGTACTTCGAAAAACAAATATTCGAAATAAGGACTAAGCCTAAGGTCTACCACTTCGAGAAACGGCTTTTGATAATTGTTATGTAAGAATTTTTTTTAACCCCGTCTATTGTCTTCGTCTCAGTTCAGTGATTTTTTTACCACTTTGTTTTGCCTTTTGACGAGGAGAAAGCTTTTATTTCATTTGTGTCAACAAAGTTGGTTCTAGCAACATTGCCGTTTAATATTGTCGTGAAAACAAATATTCGAAATTCTGGTATTCGATTTTAAAGCCAAAAGTTTTTAGATCATTAGTTTTGTCACATTTGCAATTCTTTGTGTATTTCAAATAATTTTTGTATTTTTCCAATTTATCCCCAAACTGTGTCTGTGATCGCTATAGAGTACTGTATAGTGTATTAGTGTATTCCCGAATTTCCGATTGGGTCATCGGGAACAACCTTACTCAACTCAGAAATTTCCGAAGTAGAAACGCGGTTTTTAATTAACCGAGGAACGCGTTCCAAATATTTTATGGAACGCGTTCGGAACGCAATGGAACGCATTTTGGAACGCGTTCGGAACGCGTTCCGGTCGCGTTCGGAACGAGATTGGAACGCAAACGGAACGCGAACGCAGTGTTAAGTTACTTCTGAGCAGTACTGTATTGGTATTGCAGGTCACCAAAAAGGGTATAATTGGCATATAAAGCAAATTATTTTCAGATTTATTAGTTATAATGTTTTACTGTACCCTTTGCTACATGCCATACATCATAGGCATGCTCCACCTGTGGCTTCTCGTTTGCCATGTATGCGGACACTTGGATATGCCTATCTGTAACCAACTTGTCAACTTTAGTGCCATTGTCCTCCAAGTATTTCAACTGTCTCTTAAGGGATTCCAGTTCCATAGCGTTGGAATTCTTCACTTCAGTGGACTTAAAAAACAAGAATATGTAAAGAACTTAGATATCCAAAAAGCACATTTCTTCATCCAATTTTATTTTACTGGGAATTTTATATTAAATTTCCCATATTCAGGTTTCAAACTTACTTTGATTACTTGGGTATCTAATATGATATTCCGTCCCATGTCCAGCGTACTGCCTGATCCAAAAAGCCCACTGTGACCAGGACTATCAACGCGCATATCCGATGCAATGACAATTCGTTCATCTCCTATATCCCGTAACCTAGCGGATTGTTCCTCTTTCCACACTTCATAAACTGAGGGAATGACATAATTCTTTAAGATATTCGACAGCTCCCGTTGCTTCAGGTTAGGAATGTTCAGCGAACGAAATAGACAAAGAACTTTTGAGGATTCCATTCCGGTTGCGAGAATGCCAGATGCTAGTAGCAGATGAAATACTGGCATTTTGGATAACGAGGGACCAGTCGTCCACTGAAAATTATGCTCAGGCTGGACCGTACATGTGACACCAATGCAACACGAGGAACCAATTTGACTTGCAATGGTCACAACACATTTTGCACCACACTGACCGCATTGACCAAAGACATCTAGAATCGCTTCTTCGAAGACAATAAATTTGATCTGGTCTTGTGGGGACTTGCCATGCTCTAGAACTCTTCGTTTGTCAGAATCGGTATCTTCTCCGCTGCTGTCGTCACTGAGAGTGGACAACGATTCCTCTGGAATGTCAAAGTCACTATGTAAGCGAACTGTTATGGGCTCTGCGCTTGAACTGCTGCTCTTCATGCTCCTAACGTCAACGTCTGTAATTGTAGATTGCACGAAATCTGGTGTTTCTGTTTCAAAATCACATGAAGGCATGTTATCACTGTCGCTCACAACCGTTTGCGCTTCCAAAGAGGTCAAAAACGAAGTGGATGTCGTTTGTGTTCTGATCGACCTGGTCCCTTGTTTTTTCCTTGTTTGTGTTGACCTTTCTCTTGTGTTTAAAATCTTCATCTGTTTCTCCACTCGGTCTTCCTCTGTGCTTTGAATGTTGGGTATTTCGTCTAACGTCTCCAAATTAGAGAAACTTTGTGGCCCTTCGGCTTCGGATTCATTTTCACTTGAAGATGAATCGTTTTGTGGAGATTTACTTGCTTCTAGAAGGTCTTCGAGTTTCTATAAATGATTACAAATGTTTGTATTATTGGCGTAAAGTTCAGTAATGCCTACCATGCTATATGTGTGAATAACTCTATTTTACCGCATATGTAAGCCTCTATGGCTCTCAACTATAATCTCTACACTTCCTAACGAAACGTTCCCGTCATATTTCTATATTACCTTTTTACGCTGTCTTTTTTCTGTAAAAATCCTTGTTTTACTTGAACCTGTTTCAGGCAAAGGTTTATTCAAGGTTGGCACAGCATCGCTTTTCAACTGAACGCGAAACGACTCCTGACACTCTATTTGCTTCAAAAATTGTGGCGAATGTCCAGGTTGGTAGGCGTCTTCAGCGAAATGAAGAGAACAAATTCTACTGTTCACCAATGGCTCGAAACCTTTCCTCTTGCAAAAATCTATCCAAATTTTTCTTCTCTTCTGCTGAGCTGCCGATTTTCCACTTGGAAACCGAAAGAAATTGATAGCACTCGTTTTTTTTTTGAAGTAGCTATTACAACCGTAAACCGGGCAATACATGTTTTCACCTTCGCATTTCGGACTGAATGGAAAATGAGAAAGGATACGCTCTTTTTACAAGCGCTTCACAGCTATTTCGGCAGCAGCACCTGCATCCGGATAAACCATGAATGCAAACACATGTCAACATAATACCAACATATGATCTAATGTGCTGTCATTTTGTCATGCCGACTTGTATATTATTTCACAAGCTTTGCTTCCCGGCTTCCGATCAAAACAATTCACAATTGCGGCACAGCGGCGAAAGTGTTGCACATGAACGCCTGTATTCTAAAACCTCACTCACACTCAAACTCCGTGAAAATTGGCTAAATAAATTTGACCATGAAAAACAGCCTGGAACTGTGAAATCATATCTTGGTTCATTGAATCAATTTTATGGGTTTTTAAAATGCGAAAATATAGATGTCAATACTTCAGTAGAAAGGTTAACCAGTCTTTCAGACCAAGTGAGACTATGGGCTAGGTCATTCAGAAAACAAAGCAAGCAACATTTTTGGGAAAAACGCATGGATGACATTGAGGCAATAAGAACCCCCCAGCAAATTCAACAATTTGACACTTCGGAAGTTGCTAGGGAGGCCATTCGTCTGCTTGGAGAATACCAAGATAAAGAAGAACCACCAAGCCAGCCTGAGTATACTGCTGTAAGGGACTACCTCTTAACTGTCCTGTGTATCAACAATGGCAGCAGATCTGGAACACTAGCAAACATGACTCTTGGTGAGTTTGAAAGATCCACGAAAGAGGATGAAAGTTTCATTGTGAGAGTGCGGGACCACAAGACACTATCTTCTCATGGCCCTGTGAATGTTATTTTTAATGCATCTCTTTACAGATATACTAAAATTTACATTCAGAAATTCAGAAATCGTTTGGCAGATGTTAACACAGATAAAGATTCGCCAGTTTTTTTAACTTCTAACCAAAAGAAAATGAAGTCATCGCAAGTTGGTGCCCAGATGGGATCGTGTTGGGGGAAAGTTTTTGGGAAAGAAACGTCTATGGGAGGAGCAACTGCCTTCAGAAAAGCTGCTGTATCCGCAGTTCATGAGCAGAATGAGGATTTACGTGGGGACTTAGCGGACCTTATGGTTCATAAGCAATCAACAGCTGATCGTTACTATCTCTTAAAAAATAAAGGGAAATCTGCTGTAAGAACTTCAAATGAACTGGCAAAGATAATGAGGTCATCTGGTCAAGCTAATATGGAAGAAAACACAGACACTCTTCAGGTGGAAAATCCAGAACAAAGGCACAAATGGACACCAAGTGAAATTTTGGAATTAGGATCTGCGTTTTCTGAACATATAAAGCGGAAGTCAATAACGTTAAGGCAGGTTAAAGAAATCACTAAAGGAATACCTATTCTACGATGTATATCCCGAAAAAAATTTGTGACAAAATTCGCTCATACTTTGGGACAGATGAATCGGGAAGTGAGAAGTCACCATCCTTGCCGGGTGAAATGGAATCTTGTCAAGAGTGTATGGAGCGTGCTGGTCTAATACAACCAAATGTTAACAATGGTATGTTAAAACTTTTTTGGGAATTGATAATAAGATCATCTGTTTACATTAAATATCTAGGTTAGTTATACTTGATCAAAAGGAAGCTCTAAAGGGATGAACAAATACTTTTGTCCCAGGGATACTTTTCTAAAATTTAAAGATCAATGCAGTGAGACTCAATTGAGTATGATACCTAGTGGTATATCTTTGCAATTTCTAGTATACTCTAAAAAAGTTCCCATCTGATTTCTCTTACAGATATTACAGATTCAGTTTCACAAGCCAATGATATTAGCAAAGGAAGTGGTATGTACACTAACTGTAATAAGTAGGATTATTATAGAAATTTTATATGTACATTTTCCATTGAATAATTGAACTAACACTTATATTTTAGAAATTACAAACAACCCAGATGAAGATCTTCCTAAAACTTGTGACAGCGAGTATGCTCCATCGGTGCATAGTTCTAAACGGACATTGACGTCACTTCTAACCATAGAAGAAGAACACTTATTTACTAAAACCTTTTCAAAGCTCCTTCACTCGTCCAAACCCGTTGTTATGAAAAAAGTGATAGAAACCTTGCAAAAGACACCTGGGCTCTCCCATTTGTTGGAAACATTTACTCACCGCCAATTAGCTGATAGAGTGCGCTCAGAGCGAAAAGCCATTGTTCGTACCAAGCAGAAAAAGAAATTGAAAAGTAAGGCTAAAAAATAGCTAATTAAATATTTAAACGTTAAAAGTCAGCCGGGCTCAGCAATCTCATTTACATATAACAGAACTTTTCAACAAAGTATAACA